AAAAGAAGTAGCTAATAGGAACTAAACTGTTTTAAAAGTTAATGTACAGGGCTGGGGATTTAGCTCAGTGGTTCCACTGCCTGCTTTGCAAGCTCAAGGAACTGAGTTCGATCCCCAGGACCTAAAAAAAAGAAAAAGGTAATTTACAGTCATGACTGGAGTTAGTGCGTACATAAATTATTTTAACAATGGTTGGAGAAAAGAAAAAATCAACTGGAAACGATACTATGAATACTAAACAATCTAGTAATTTCATCAAACAATTGCTTCAATATATTATAGTAATAACAATGGCTTCTTCCTACTAAATATAAAAAATAACCACTTAATGTGAGTCTCCTTCCAAGATTAAGCCATAAAAGTTGACTAATAAGGAAAAATATATCACTTTAAAAACTTTCTTTACTTAGGTGTCCATTTCTAAATACATTTTTACTTCTAAGTGAATTCATATGATTTTAAGAGTATTTTAACTAAAAGTCCTCAGAACACAAAAACTTAGGGAACTAAAAACAGGGATGACGAAAATACATGTACACATATAATCAGAGATTAGCAAAGACTTGAAGGTGTCTAATCTTAACAATTTTGCATTTTCAACACTTGTTATTTTGTCATACTGTTTTCTGAGTTAAAAAAGAGGGACGTTGGTTATTTGATGACAACGCTCACAAAACTGACTTTTTTAGTCCACACTAAGTATTGCAGAACTGTTTAAATTCTAAGGTCAGAATATGAAGAATCTACTCTGTGCCACTACTGCATTTTAGAAACATTACATACATAAATTTGTAACGTGGCTTATCAAATGTGAATTAAAAGGTAAAAATTCTTAACAGTAACAGTGTTAAAGGAAACAAAGGTAATAAAGTTAAATGATAGGATATAAATATCAAGAAAGAAAAGATCTAAAGGATATTCCCAAATAAAGTATCATATACTTGACAAAAACACGGTGAGCCTAGAACAGTGACAGCAAACCTTTTAGAGACTGAGTGCCAAACAGCAACCCAAAACCCACATCACAAATTCCCAACACTGGGATTAAACCTGAATACTGAGGTTTTAGTTCAGAAAAAACAATTCTACATTAACATCTTTTGTCTTAAGAACACAGTAACATGAGTACCACAGGTTCTCCATCACTGGTCTAGAACTAAGTACGAGGACAAAGACAGTAAGAACCATCTGTGACTCATATTAGAACACAATTAGGCATGTTGAATTTTACCGACCTTATAGGATATATAATTTTAAGTTATTTATACATTTCCTTAATGTTCATACTGTGACTTAGGGTATAAGAATTAATTATATCCAAAGCAAAGACCATACTATCTAGATTTTTGTTGTTGTGGCTTTTGACTGACAGATTGAATCAAATGTTATGTTCAATTATTAATTTTTATTTCTTTGATTTGTAAACTGTGTCTTCTAATATATTTTGAGAATATATTTAACAATATGCTGAATATGAAAGAGCCATTAAAACCTACAAGGCTGGACACTTCCATTTACATTTCCTTCTAAGAAACAGTTGGTTTTTGACATTCTTAAAATTCCAAATGCTCTTTTATTGTTTCAAATAAATACCTATGAATTAACATTCCTCATCCCATATATATAAAGGCATTTGGCAGCATCTAAACCCAAAGTTGTTTTGTTAGTAAACTTGAGTATAACTGAATTAATAGTATTAATTTCAGTGCATTTTAAATTAGAGATGTGACAATTAAACAGGTGAAATTTTTTGTTTGCTTATTTTGGTTAAGGGTACTTGTCTTTGCATTGCATTTTTATCAAAATAAAATGATATACTGAATTATTTTTAAATTCTACTTTAAATCAGACCTTGATGAAAAGCAAAAAGAAATGTTTAAACTTTGGTTCAAAAGTGCTGTCTTCTGAAATTTACTGGCTGCTTTAAGATCATTTAGATTGTTATAAAGTATATTGTGTCACCTTCGCATGGCATTTGACATCATTCTTATTTTAATATGAGGAATTGAACCCAAGGCCTTCACACTGAGCTACATCCCTTGCCCTTTTTATTTTGAAATAGGGTCAGGCTACGTTATCCAGGTGGGACTTGAACTTGTGAACCTCCTGCCTTATCCTCCCAGAAAGCCAGGATTACAGGCCAGGTGTGTACCACCATACTAGCTGTTTTGTTTGGGAGACAGGGTCTCACTATGTAGCTCACATTGGCCTTGAATTCTCTATGTTGTAACCCAGGCTGGCCTGCAACTAGCAAATTTTCTACAGTCTCTCAAATGCTGGACCACGCTTGCCTCATACGTGTGGCCAACTTTTATTTAACCCATTCTATAGGACTTCAAATATATATTGATATATCACTGCAATAAGCTATGGTCATTTAATTTTATAAAATTGAGTATCACAAAACCAAATTCTGTTTCAATTCAAAATTTTGAAGCTTAACTATAATGGTAACATTTACTTTAAAAACGAATTTTCCTGTAAAATTCTACAATATGAGAAAAATGGAAGTTAGTATTTTTCTGACATTTAAGAATCAATTCTAGCTGGGGATTTAGCTCAGTGGTTCCAGCACCTGCCTTGCAAGCTTAAGGACCCGAATTCAATCCTCAGTATGGTGGGGGGGATCACTTCTAAATTGAACTCAGGTCCTCTTACGTGGTAGGCAAGTTAAGTGCTCTACCACTGAGCTATACGCCCAGCCCTGTGTGTAAAATTAATTGTAGCAGACTACCAAGTACTATTTAAAACAAAATACAAAATCCTAAAATGGAAATGTTTAAAGGCTTTTATCAGATTTGTAAAATCAGAGGTATAGTTACATCTATTAATGGTTAAACTGAGCTAATTTGATCACTATAAATAATGTATATTACTTTTACATGTGGATAATTTTTCAAAAATTATAGATATGCTAACTGTGACATAATGGTTTGAAAACTGTCACTATTTGAGCTCCAGAATTCACTTTAAATATTTCTGTCTAAGAAATAATCATAAATATGCTAAAAATCAATCCTAGTCACTTAAAGGTCTAAGAAGTCTCTACTTTTGTCCTTAGTAAATGTTTTATTATTATTATTATTGTTGTTGTTATGTTTTTTGAGATAGGGTCTCACTAGGGAATTCAGGCTGGCCTTGAACTCACTATATAGCTTCGGCTGGGCTTGAACTTGTGCTATCCTCCTGCCTCAGCTTCCCAAGTGCTGGGGTTACAGGCATGCACTACCATACCTGGCCTCTATTACTATTTTAAAATTGAAATTTTCTGTCCTTCTAATAGCTAAAACCTTTACTCGGTTGTTCTAATTCTTTATGTTTTAAAATTTTAATTAATTTACTTATTTTTGAGACATGGTCTTGCTGTGTCATTGAAGCTGGCTTTGACCTCACTACATAGTCCAGGATTGGCTTAAACTCAGGGCAATTCTGCTGCCTCAGCCTTCCAAGTTCTGGGATTATGGGCACGTACCATCATGCTGGCTTATTTCAGTTCTTAAAAAAGAATTTTGTATAATGGTAAGGAATTAAAACATCAGAGTTTGTTATATTATTTAACAGTCTTGGATTTATAATCAGTACAGCTGGCTATCAAGAGTCATATTTTTTCAGAGTCAAGCTATACTAATCTGTATTTTTATGTCCTAACATCAGTGATGGCAAACTTTTTAAACCTTTCAGTGAAGAGAAATGCTGTCTGGCACATATTCCTCGGTTCTCACCACTTAATTTCTGCATACTATATGACAATGTTCTGTTTTGCTAAGCATCTTTTAAAATCACTCTAGAATAGCAACTCTTTATTTTGAAGCCGCTTTAATTTGGGGGCTAGTATTGCATATATCAATGAAGATTAAAACTGGACCAAACCATTCTTTCTATGGAAAGTAGTATATTAAGGAGAACACTGTCTTTAATTAATTCAATAAATAACTATCTTATAGAATTAATGGCTTTTGAAAGTATTCACATTGAATTAATTGGTAGAAAAAGTACATGTTACCTTGAATATATTCAACTTACTAATGAAGTATCATGTAGTTACAAAAATGATATAGTATGACTAAAACACAAAACTAAAATGATATAATAACAGGAAAAGAAAATGTCAGGATATACTAGATAATTCAGATGTACAAAGAACTGTTCCCACCATTTATTTATTCCTAGGAAATTTCTGAGGTATACCTCCTCTTAGCTAAAGGAGTGAAAATTTTTAACTAAGAAAAGGCTCTAGCCAGGCGTGGGGGCTCACACCTGTAATCCCAGCACTCAGGAGGCTGAGGCAGGAGGATCACTGTGAGTTCGAGACCAGCCTGGACTACATAGTGAGTTCCAGGTCAGTCTCAACTACATAGTGAGACCCTGTCTCAAAAAACCAAAAAAAAAAAAAAAAAAAAGAAAAGAAAAGGCTCTAGTCTTTTTTTAGTGTTTCATATTCCCTTTCATAGCTATGCTTTTTTCTGAACTGAATCTATATGTATCCAACATAGATATAAAAAGTAACTGATACTTTCTGTTTTTTGTTTTTTATTTTGGCAGTACTGGGGATTAAGCCCAGGGCATGAGTGTGCGAGGTAAACCCTCTGACACTAAGCTACTTTCCTCAGTCATTTTTGTTCTTTTTTATTTTTGAGACAAAGTCTTATGTTGCTCAGTCTGACCTCTAACTTGGAATCCTCTTGCCTCAGCCTCCCAAGAAGCTGGGATTACAGATGTGCAACACTATAATTTCTTTAAAAATGTATTTCGGGCCGGGGATTTAGCTCAGTGGTTTGGTGGCCTGCTTTGCAAGCGCAAGGACCGAGTTCGATCCCTGGTACCACAAAAAAAAAAAAAAAAATGTATTTCATAATTTATTAGATGTAATTACTTCATTTTAAGAGTATTAAGAGAAGACAAAGACATTAAAAGATGTTAGGGATTTAGCTTTGTGGTACTGTGCCTGCCTCACAAATCCGAGGTCCTGAGTTCAATCCCTGGTACCAAAAAAAAAAAAAAAAAAAAAAAAATTAGGGCTATGGGTTTTTTTTAAAATGCAAAAAAGGGACACTCCCCACAAAAGGCTGAATAAAAGTCCCTGTAAAACACACTACTTTATACTCTCCTTTTGAAAACTGGAGGCTACATTGTAGAAACAAAATCTCTATTAGAGAACTAGTTTTGAGAAATGACTATCCCTAAAGATATTATACTCTCCATATATACTACTTAAGAAAAGTTAATATTAATTCAATATAAAGATTTTGTTTTGGGAAAAAAGCGAGCCTTTTAAACTTTTAACTTGTCAATGTCATTGACCAGCATTAAGAACACGAAGGTCCATTAAGAATACACAGGTCCATACGTTCATCTATGCTTCTTCCCCTTGTAAGATGAAGTGTAACTTCAGTCTTTAACCATGGGAAAACAGTTTCAAGCCTTTGGATAGAGCTAAGAGATGTGAACAAGTCTGGTGATGAAGCATAGAGTACTAATGTCCCTTTTTCCCACTTATTTAAGAAGCACCAAAACTGGAGCCACGGTTTCAAAAGGTAATTTAACAGCAGGAACTATAATTTAATCACATCATATCATATTACATTTTGTAACATTATATATTTTGCCAATTGATATGTAACATTGTTAAGTTTATTACAAGCATTATTTCCTAAGACTTGTAGTTTAAGTGCTCCTTTTCAACTATTACTGCTCATTCAATAGTATTTATAACAGTAAATCAATGTATGTAATGCAATGCATTGTGCCATTTCTCTTTATCCTATGTTAAGGTATTATTAACAAATCTATTAAGAAAACCGAGACAACTATTAAAAACTAAAATAAGGCTATCAACATCACAGATGCATATCTGAGTAGTTCTACATTTTCCCTATAATATGAAAGTATAGGCTAGCATTATTTTAACAGCAACTGGCCTTCACAAATAGATCAAAAGTTTTAATTGAAAAAGACAGTTACTTTGAGAAAACATCAATCTATATTACTAATAAAAGAAGCAAACTGCTGGTGTCACCTTGCCATAAAATTTTGCATTTTCTCTTTTCCATGTGGGATTTGGTTCATTTCTGTAATGACTACAAAACTGAAGTTCTCATCTATCAGTGAGATAGACTAATTTGTTGAGTAACCTCTCACTTAATATTTAAACTAATACCAATCTAGAAAAAGTCAGTGCCTCAGTGGCTTTAAATCACATCAATTTTAATTTGTTCTTCAGAATAACAATGCAATTGTCTATGCTTCTGTAACAATAGTGCAACACAGTATCCTTTTCTGAATAAAGGAACTGAGGTTTTATCCAAGTTCTAAGCTTTAAATAAGGTAGATCATTGCCAGTTACATACTAAATCTTACATGTCTGATACAAAATGGATCAGGAAAGCTTAAACTGACTTCTACAACTGCATTTAGCTAAAGCTTCACAAAAGCAGCAATGAAATGAATAGAGGTGCACTCATAGAACACTTCAAAACTACTCTTAAAAACAAATGACAAAAAGTAGTTTAGAACAACTGAACATCTATCTGTTGTGTGTACCACATGTAAAAGATGAATGGACCTTGTGGTACTTGAAGTGTTTGAATTATATAAAGGTAAAATTAAAACTTAGTCCACTTCCATCTCTCCTGAAGATTTAGTATGCTGTGAGCTGTCTTTTATATCTGGTTTGGTTTCAGGCCCACTCTGTCCATCCACTGGTCCATTGTTTTCACTGTTAGCTTTTGCTTTATCTTCAGCAACTTCTATTTTTGGTTTGGGCTTGTAAATGATGGGATTACAGAAATCATCCAGTTCCTACAGAAATGAAAAAATATATTTAACATTACAGAAGAAGTTAGTATTAACTTTCAAAATTCTACATTAATTTTCTAAATTTCCATATAATTCTCCAATCTTATGTTAGCTCAGTTACATACTGTTTCTTTAAATGGTTCATGAAGAATTTGCCTTCTAGTTAGTACATGTTTGTGGCAATTAGGAACTATTCTATATTAAACATGTTTTTTGCATCTAATCTTTCTACAACTTGTTTCCTCAGGATTTCAAAAATTTACTGTTAGGAATAAGTTTTATTCTTCCTTGAAAATATGCCAAATGCTTTGAGAATTATGAGAAGCATGTCAAATAACACTTATTTGAAAAATTTTAACATGGAAACTGCAATTTTTTAACATTCATATGAAAACAACTTTAACAAATAAAACCATATAAATATATGGACTAACTTTAATTTTTAGTTTAATTTTCTTTCTTTTTTGGGTACTGGTACAATTTACTTTCAATTCTTCTGCTAATGGAAAAATAAGCCATGAAAATAAAATATCAGCTATTTTCTATTTCCTTGCTTTTTACACAGAAATAAAATATGCTACATAAATTAATCAAATTAAAAAACCTTTCAAGACCAGTTTCAGAGAGACTGGGTTAGGGATGGAGAGATAGGGAGAATGTTTTGATGACAAACTGCTCTTGTTTCACTCTCCATCTTTCTTACCCAATTAGAAGTAGATTACCTATCACGAGCTTCTTGACAAAACTTTAACAGAATTAAAGTACTCTTAGTTAACTAATTTATAAAATAAAAAACTTAATACATACAAAAATACTGAACAAAGTAAAAATTATCTTGAAGTACATCTATAAATTAACTTTTCAGTGCCCATCCAGTAGTATGTTCATGTATACATATATGTAAGGATAAAACTATGAACAAATTTATACATGACATCATTTTATTTTAGTTCTGTAATCTTTAACAATACATTGTACATATCTTTATATCTAAAACACTGTTTTTAATGGCTGTATTGTTATATACATGCATGAATTTATGTAGTAATTCCTAGAATTGTGAAGTTGAGTTAAATTCTTCAAAGTTCTATGTATATTCTGTTCCAAGAAAGTTGTAACAAATTTAATCAAAGTGCTCAGGGGACAGCATCCACTTCTCTACATCCAAAGATTTGCATTTCTTAGATGAGTGATATGGGTGAATACTTTTTCATGTATTTACTAGACATGAATTTCTTCTGGCAATTGCTAATCCAGCGTCTTTAGTAATTTTTCTATTTGGATACTAATCTTTTTATGAAGTTTTGTTACCATGTTTTTCAAGGTGATTTGCCAGGAAATCTTTTTTTTTTTGGTGCTGGGGATTGAACTCAGGACTTTGTGCTTGCAAGGTAGGTGGCAGCATCACTGAGCTAAATTCCGGGCCCTCCATGACATCTTTTGACATGTTTCCTCAACTGGAAACTTTATCTTAGCTTAGATAAACTTTTAAAAATGAGATTTTACTTTTAAAGTTCATACATTTCAAACTAGATCATAGACCTATCATGTAATGAAGAATTTAGATGTCTCACTACATCTATAAGTTTGAATTATTTAATAGTCAAAAGTCATCATATTGATTTATTTCATTCTATACTAATATTTTCTTTGTTTGTATCAGGAATTGAACTCAGGACTTTGTGCTTGCAAGGCAGTCAGCAGCACCACTGAGCTAAATCCCCAGCCCTATACTAATTTTGAAATGTAAAAACTAAAGTTGTGTGACAAATTTAAAAAACAGTCCACACCTGGAATCTTTTTTAAAAAATTAGCAAAATAAAAGATTTACCTTTAAATTTCTGTTTTTCTAAGTTCTTCTACAATTTGATTATTTCTCAAAGTATGACTTTCATTAAAATTTTTTAATCCTTGGGCTACGGAGGTAGCTCAGTGGTACAGCACCTGCCTGGCAAGTATGAGGTCCTCAGTTCAATCGTTTTTAATACTTAAACTCATTTAGTTTCTTACCTTTGACTTTGTAACTATTTCTACCACTCTTACCACAGGATCTTGAGTGAGACTTAATTTGTTCTGTGCATTCATCTTGCTGTTCAGCCAACTCATGGCATCACTGATAAACTTTTCAACTTTTTCCACTTCAGCAGGATCCAAATGATCGTATCTTTCATCCTATTAAAAAAAAGTGTTACTTAATGTAACTGCATTGGTAAGCACTAATTTACAGATAATCTCTGCTATAAAGATTTAATTCGTGCTGACATTTCTCAGACAAAGAAGTAAAAGCAGCAAGGAAATATATGAAAAGTTCCACATCATTGGTCATTCGAGAGATGCAGATGAAAACAACACTGAGATTCCACCTCATCCCACAAAGAATGGCTGCTATCAAGAAATCAAACAATAACAAATGTTGGCAGGGTCGTGCGGAGAAAGGAACCCTTCTCTATTGTTGGTGGGAGTGCAGACTGGTGCAATCACTATAGAAATCAATATGGAGATACCTCAAAGAGCTGGGACTAGAGGTGCCATTTGACCCAGCCATCCCTCTGCTGGGTATCTTTCCAAAAGAATTAAAAAGAATCATATCACAGTGTTATAGGTGCACCTATGTTTACAGCTAAAACTTGGAAACAGCCCTTTTGCCCATCAGTTGGAGACTGGATAAAGAAGATGTGGTTTTTCTATAAAATGGAATATACTCAGACTTGAAGAATGAGAAGTTAGAGTCATTCACAGGAAAATGGATACATATTGTATCCATAAGTCACACATGTGTAAATACCAAATAATTTCTCTGGTATGAAAAACTATAATGGTACATAGGATCCTAATGATATGACTGACAATGTGAAACAGGAAGAAAAGGGCTAAAGGTGTAGGGAAAGTGGGAAGGGTAGGAGAAAGGTAATAGGGGAAAAGAAAAAAAAACATGAGAAAATGAAAAGTGGAAATAAAGTATTTATAAATAGGGAATGGAGGAGGGGGTGAAGGGAGGGCAGGGATAAGGGGAAAAAATGAGAACCAAGACCTGTCATGTAAAGGTACAAATCCCAATGATGAATGTAACTGTACTGTACACCTAAAATGTACCAATAAATTCAATGAGAAAAAAAATCCATACCTAATACATATGCATGTGAAGAAGCCAAATATAAATATAAAACTAGACTAAAAGATAAGATACAATCAATGTTTTTAAAAAGGAGAGGCTATGGACTGGGGATTTAGCTCAGTGGTTCTGCCACCTGCCTTGCAAGCACAAGGACCCAAGTTCGATCCCTGGTGCTAAATAAATAAATAACAGAAAGGAAAGGCTTTATGAAGAAGGTATGAAAAAGAATGATTAAAAATGAATACTCAATGGGAAAGACTGTAATGAAGTGAAATTGATTAAGAGTACAGAGAAATTAAGTAAATAGGCATGTAAAAATGTAGACAGAAAATTCTGAATATACATCAGAACAATATGGTAAGTTCCTGCTAAATAGAATAACAGAATAAAATTTTGTGTGAAAAAGAAAATTTCAGCTGCCACATACTAGGGACACCTTAAGTAATGATGGTTTAGATTGGTTAATCACAGAACCAGACAGAAATGGCAATGTAATATATAGCAGGACGATTCCCCGATAGATTATAGTATGGACACAGAAAATAAAGGGAAACAGCAATGCCATTTTTTGAACCATAAATTTCCTCAGATACTCAAGTCCTTTATTTGCTCCTATGATTACAAATTATACATCCACTATCTTTACCTTAGTTCCTAGTTTGCTACATTTTCTTGAATCTTTCCATTTTATGGGTCACTTCTTAAGTTTCCTTTGCTAGTTCTTCATTTATTCCTCCTACTACATACTTTGAAAAAATGTCTACCGTGAGATGGACTCAAACTCATGTGATCCTCCTACCTCAGCCTCCTAAGTGCTGGGATTAGAGGCATGCACCACCAGGCCCAGCAACCCAAACTTTGACAACAGACAGCAATAACAAAAATATACAATGTCACTGCCACCCTTACACCTCCACTGGCCTTGCTGTTTCTCCATGTTCTCCTTTGGGGGTTTTCTCTTCTAGATTCATCGTAAGCTGTCAACTTCTTCATTTCTCTTCTGACATGTATGTCCCCTTATCTGTTTGTCTCTCTGACAAATCTATTCTACGCATTTCTGCGAGTTCTATACTTTCTCTACATCCCTTTATCACATCTGACATACTTATAGTAACTTTATTGTCTACCTTTTCCCATTGAAGCATAACAGGTTGTGTTTTGTTTGTTGCAGTTCTAGAACTTAGAAAACAGCATGGCACATAATAAAAATTCGAATTATTGAGTGTAAGTAAAGTTTTGTCTTGCTTTGGATAGTATCTTAAACCTACACACACTCAAGAAGGCAGCTAAAATGCTCAGTAGGTATTGGGCAACAATAATTATGCATTTGAAATCTTCACGACTTAAGACACATTATTCACAGTATATGGGATTTTTTTTTTCTTTAAGGTTGGCTAGATTGCAGTTTTGTTTTACCAAACTCAGAAACCTCTTATTTCTAAAATAAGTAATCTCTTTCTACCGTGTATAGTAGGAAAAACTAAATAATTGCTGAGAACTTGTATGCTATTATCATGTTTGAATTCCGACTCCCACCATTTATGACCTGTATAATCAACCAACTCCTTAAACATTCTCTTCTATGTAACTGAAGGCAAAAGAATTAAACCTTCTTTGGGGTATATCCTGGTGATAATTAACATGAGATAACCTATCTCCAGATACAAAGTGATGTAGTTTTAACAGCAATGACAAAACCTGGGAGGATAACAGTGATTATTTAGAGTAGGATCAATAAATTGTCAAATGGACCAAGTTTAACTGGCTTTTTTTTTTTTTTTTTTTGGTACCAGGGATTGAACTCAGGACCTTGAGCTTGGGAGGCAGGCGCCGAAACCACTAAGCTAAATCCCCGCCCTCGACCGGCTATTTTTTAAGTTAAGTTTTATGGTTGCTAGTGCACTTCAGTAGCAAAGATGAATAGCTGTATAGACACAGTATTGCAAAGCATAAAATATTTACATTTATCTTTTTAAAGAAAAAGTCTCCTAATTCCTCGTTTAGACAATACCCTTAGTTATTCCTAAATTTTGCTGTTATAGACAAATGAAGATGTGATCTATATAACTACATTTCTGAGGCTTTAAAAGAGTGAGAAATTAAAGTAGTACAGACTTGGGTATGTATATAAAAGAATACAGTATAAGGTATTATACATGACTAATGGGCTAGAAGAAACAGCCAAGTAACAAAATAAGTCTGGCAGAGGTTAAGCTCAAAGAGACCCATAAATAAGTTTGTCACTTTCTTTTACTACATAAAAACAGAAAAATGGAACCAGGGATTTAGCTCAGTGGTGCTGCCACCTGCCTTGCTAAAAAAAAAAAAAAAAAAAAAAAA